CGATTACAACCTTAGATACATCGCCAGATGGACCCAACAACGAAAAAGTGCCAATGAAGACAATAAAAATTGGTAACTCACAAGAGCATAAATGACTTGTAACTCCTTGAGACAATGGTGTAATTTACTAGATCCCCCTATGATCTATAAATTGGAGGATCTTTTTCAAGTAAAAGGGAGGAAGTCATAAGTTTTCCAGGCATTTAGGCATTACTCTCCCCTTCTCTTATAAAGATTATTTAAATAAATAATATGGGTGAGAGAGCCAGGGAACATCTCCACTTTGACTTTTTGGAGGCAATCGTTGTGTCACTCCCTCTCTCTCTCTCTCTCTCTCTCTCTCTCTCTCTCTCTCTCTCTCTCTCTCTCTCTCTCTCTCTCTCTCTCTCTCTCTCTCTCTCTCTCTCTCTCTCTCTCTCTCTCTCTCTCTCTCTCTCTCTCTCTCTCTCTCGTTCTTTTCCTCTCCCTTAGTCCCTACACTCTATGCCTTTGGCATGGTCAACATAACAAATCTGGATTCAACAATACTTTTTTTGGAAAAAAAAAGTGCAACATTTTTTCATTCATGGGTAAATGATGTCAATGAATAGAGCATTTGCTAAGCTACTTGTGACACAACATGATTAGGGCTCGGTTAAATTTATTTAATTAAATAATCAAACAAACTTGAACATTATTTAAAAACCCAATTTGATTGTGATCATGACCAATATCATTTAAAGCTCATGAATAAACTCATTAAGTGTCCAATTGATGCCTAAAGTTATAATTAAAAATATAATATAATTAAATAAAGTAAAAGTAAGATTAATTTTGTACTTTTTTATATTATAAACTAAAAAAATAATTAAATTTCCTCAAATAACTCAAAAAACTATAGCATTTTTTATATAAACGTGCGTTGGGTGAAAAAAAAATATTTCAAGCTTGGTGTGTGTTCAGCTAATTCAAAATTGCTCGTAAACAGAGTGTTTGTGTTCAGTTCGAATGAGAGAAATAGATGTATAGTGTTGGATTCAAACCTACACTAATTGTGTGCAATAGAAGACTTGAAACCACGTGACTACAAGAGTTGTTATGATTTAAAGTTATATATAAATATATATTGTTGAATCTGAAATTATCCTGTGATAATACATGCCCAAGAAATATAGCGCTAGGAAACCCAGAAGAGAGAGAGAGAGAGAGAGAGAGAGAGAGAGTGTGAGAGTTAACGCAGGGGTTGCCCTCAGTGAGGTAAGGTGAGGGTGTTCCCTAGGCTCTTAAACCCATAATAAATAAAAGAAATATGTGTTACAAGAGAGAGGGAGAGCCAAAAAATCCTCCTTCCCACTTGTACATAAAAGATCCTCCTATTTATAAGGGTCTAATTATTTATGGAAAGAGGAAAAAATTATGGTAACCTCCCTAAATACCATTTGAGTGTAGCACAATGATTATCAAATAGATTGAAGGTTTGCAGACTGAAGGTTAGTAGATGAACTAAAGATCAACAGACGAGCTGTGATCGACCAACAGACTGTTGTTGGCCGACAAACCAAGCACTTTTTTATCTATATCCCCGCAAATCTCTTACTTCTTAGAAGTGAAGTTACGATAAGTATGAGAAACTTAAAATATGTCAAAAATATAATCATAATAATACCGTATTTATACTCCCTTGATTTCGTCGTCGCTTAGTGCCTTATTTTTCCAATCCCGAAGTGCTCTCTAGAGACCTTTTCGGGTCGATTTTTAATTTGTTACTTGATCAACACTTATGCAGAAGTGTTAATGATTTATTCAAGAAACATATACTCTTTATTAATTTTTACATTTGCTTATTTTGTATCTTACTATTACTGCACAATTTGATTGCGACAGCCGGATGATTTGGGCTGGTTGACAACTTAAGTCTTGTAAAGATCATCAATCGTTTTTTATGTGTTGCAGTTAGAGGGCTTTTTGGCTCAAGTTTTCTAAAGCATGTGTCTTATTTGCTCGGTCGGTACATCGCCTCAGTTACCCTCACCTTTTGTCCGGTTTTGGGTAGATATTGTTGCTGCTTTCGTGGGAGTGACTGATGAGACTCACTGTTGGGGTGATTTGCATCGTACTATTCGGTGATCTTGTCTCTATTGAGCAGGGAACCACCTTCACAGCTTTTACTTGTTCCAAGTTTAGAGACATAGCATTTTATGCTTGACTATGAGAGTTGATCTTTTGTTCGCCTCAGAGTGGTCTTTTATTTGTTCCGCCGGATCCTAGTTCTCCGAGTGTTGCGTGTGTGAACTCTTCAAGTGCTCCAGTCTTAGTAAGACTTTTTTCAGCTGCCTAAATTTTTGGTCGGCAGAATTTTGGGTTGCTCAGACCTCAGTCAGCCGAAACTGAGACCAACCCGATTTTGTCAGTTGTGTCCAATTTTTCAGCATGGTGAAATTTTCAATCTGTTCTTAGAACTGTCGGTTGTCTAGTGAAGAATTATTTCTAGTTTTAGGAGGGCCAGCTTATATATATAAGTGGCATGTATGTATAGAAAAATTTAAGTGGTATGTATGTAAATCTTCCCTTTTTTAGTCGGCGGGCAGGTGTGGACTTCAGGCGATCGACGGGATTTTGGCCGGTCAGGTGTGGACTTGTGAATGAGTAGATTTTTCGGTGATCGGCAAAATCGCGGTGACCAACTCGATCAGGCGTGCGGTGGGATTTTTGAAAAACATTCATGTGATCTCTAGCATCCGTCGGTTGATTTTCCCGGCCGTCTGAATTTGTCGATTGGTCGATGAGTCGACCGACGGGTGTTCGCTGGGGATTTCTGGGATTTATTTTTGAATGTGCTTTCACCTCCAAGCCAAATGTTCTCGAAAGACTGAGAAATGAGAGCTGCGGGCATTTGAATTTAGATTAGGGGTTCGTTTGAGTAAAAATTATTCCATACAGATGCATGCGGTGTCTGATATACACAATCGATCACCACAAAGATGTATTTTAGTGAGCACCACTTTCAACTTTTTTTTTTAAAAAAAATTTTTTGATTGCGATGATCGACAGTGGAGATCGGACACCGCATGCATTCGTATGGAATAATTTCTCCAGCTTATTTGGTAAGGTGGTGTTTTGAAAACACACGTGGACTGTTTTGGTAAACCGCGTTTTAACAGCTTGTGCGTTTTGAAAATGCTGAAAGAAGTGTTTTTACATGACACCTATTTAGGGGTGGTGACAGCTTTCTGACAACGATCTGATTTTTCCAAAAAAATAAAAATTTCTAATAGTCACCGCTCCTAACTTTTAAGTAAATTATTTTTAATGAGCTTATGAGCAGATTATTTAATAAGCTGCAATTATCCCAAACAGACCCAAAAGCATAATGATGTCTGATAACAATTAATGAAAGCCATCAAATTGTAACCATTAATTATTATTTAGTGGAACTAATATTAACAATAAAAATTGCCACATCTCCCAAAAGGAAAAAATCTCAAAGGCCCAATGAAACTATTCAATAAACGTTCAGGCCTCCCCAAAGGTCTTGTAAATGGCATTGTTTGCAACCCTATATGCTGTTTCTCTTGTACTGCAATGGAGGAATTGCCTATAATAATGCTCACTGTTCATGAAATTATGCTTTTATTCTCTATAATGATTTTTTTTTCCCCCACGAACCATCATATGAACAAAGGATCACCATGTATGGTTGACTGTTAATTCTGGAAATGCTACTTATGAGCTATCAATTTGGCACAATTGTAAATTATGTCGGTTGTTAAAACATATATTTTTATGGCAGCTCAGCTTATTCGGCGAGGTGAGGCGATGCGAACCTCCGGCGAGTGGCTACGACACGATCCAAGCCGCACGAGACGAGAGTGGCAATAGGTAAAGAGAATAAGATTGCGTGGCTAGCTTACAGATTGGAAATGAATAGGACGATCATGTTAAAGAGAAGTGACATTCAAATTTAATAAAAAGAAGATTTGAATTAATCTTATCAAATTTATAGTATAATTCTAGATGTATTTTTCTTAAAGAAAAATGATAGTCGAAGAAATAGAGTGTAACTAATGAGAGAGAGAGAGAGAGATTTCTTAGAATACAATAATTTCATATTAGGTTTCTTTGCCTATTACAAATAATGTTCCTCTATTTATGCGAATATATTTATTATAAAATAGTAATTATACCTTATTTTATTTAGTCGACTGGAGATCGCCGATTGGAGGACAATTGGAGCGAGTCATTTGGGCCAACTGGAGTTGGTGGAGAGAGTCGAGTGGAGCTGGTTGATAGGCTGGTTGAGAGGTTGACTAAAGCTGGTCAATTCAGCCAACTCGAGCTGATCGACTAGACCACGTTGACTGGTAAGAGCCTGCTGGGCATACTGGAGAGGGTCAGCAAGGCACACTGGAGCTACTAGGCCGACTGAAGCTGACCGAGTGAGCTGACTAGACTGGGCTGATTGGACTTGGTTAACTAAAGTTGATGTAGAGGGCTGATTGTAGTTGGTCAACTCGATCGATTGGAGCTTGCCAACCGGGCCAACTGGTGAGCGCCGATTGAAGTTGGTCATATCGGGCTGATTGGAGTTGGTCAACTAAAGCTGATGTAGAGGGTTGATTGTAGCTGGTCAACTCGACTGATTGGAGCTGGCCAACCGGGCCAACTGGTGAGCGCATACTAGAGAGGGTCAGCAAGGCACACTAGAGCTGACCAACTCGGCCGACTGAAGCTGACCGACTAAGCTGACTATATCGGGCTGATTGGAGTTGGTCAACTAAAGCTGATGTAGAAGGCTGAGTGTGGCCAGTCAACTCGACCGATTGGAGCTGGCCAACCGAGCCAACAGGTGAGCGCCGATTGGAGCTGGCCCAGGCTATTTGTCCGCAGCCTGTTCTCACCTTCTCCCATTCTTTATTATTATTATTATTATTATTATTATTATTATTATTATTAATATACGGTTTGAAAAGGTAGTTCATTTTTTCGATTCAAAAATTTCAACGCTACCTACAACAAATGCAAAGTAAAATTGCACACAGCTGCCAACACATGTATAAAATTGTTTATTACGCCAACGCAAAATTGCGTTTTTGGGAAAATCTCTGCTAAATTGTTCCGGCGAACCCATCGTCGTCCTCCTTTGTCAACATCCGACAGCAAACCTCGATGGAGTTTTCCACGTCGGTGAAGATCCTAGACCAATCCCTCATATCTCCGCCGCCGCTCTCCGCCTGCGAGAGCCGGCCATCTCTCCCCCTCAACTTTTTCGACATGCTCTGGCTCAACTACAGTCCCGTTGAACGCCTGTTCTTCTACCAGTTCTCCGATTCCTCTTCCCACTTCATTGATTTCCACTTGCCCAACTTAAAATTCGCTCTTTCTGCCACCCTCTCCACCTTCTACCCTCTCGCCGCCACCATCCGCCGCAGCCGCTCTGACGGCCGTTTCGAAATCGCCCCCGCGCACACCGATTCCGTCCCCCTCACCGTCACGGAATACGCTGGCAATCCCGCTGACTTTCTTGATATATCCGGCGACCATTCCCGGCCGGTCGAGAAGCTTCTTCCGCTGGTTCCCCGACTTCCGATGTCGCGCGACGCACAGCCATTGTTGGCCTTGCAGGTTACTCTGTTTCCGTACTTCGGCCTTTGCGTCTCCCTCGCCGTGCACCACTCCGCCTGCGATGGGTTCAGTTCGATGCAGTTCGTGAAGCTTTGGTCCGCTACTGCGGCCTCCAGTTTCCGACCGGACGACTTAGTTCCGCAGCTTCCAGCTCCGGTCATGGATCGGACAGTGATTCCCGATCCACGAAACCTGTACTTGCAGATGGAGAAGGCCGTGCTCGATGTCCGGGTTAATGAAAAGATGATAACTTCGGGCATCTCCGGTGGTGTTTACGCCGCCACCTTCACACTTTCAGCGCCGGAAATCAGTCGGCTGAAGAAGGAGGCGCAGAAGAAAGCAGAGGAACAGGGGATACCCTGTTTCCACTGTTCTTCTTTTGTGGTGTCCTGCGCTTATTCATGGATCTGCTTACTGAAAACTCGTCACAAAACCGACGGAGAAGGCAAGGCGCACTTCGTCTTCGCAGTGGACTGGCGGCGGAGGATTCAGCCGCCGTTTCCGGAGACCTCCTTCGGAACCTGCCTCAGCGGATGCTTTGTGAAGTGGGATGCCGAAGAGCTTCTAGCAAAAGATGGAATTTTGGCGGCTTGCGCGGCGATAGGGAAGGCGATTGAGGAGTTGGGAGACGCTCATGAGAGTATGGATGGAGTGATGGATAAGCTTGGGGAGATAGCGCCATGGCGGCCGTTGTCGTTGGCGGGGTCGCCGAAGATGGGGGTTTACGGGACGGATTTTGGGTGGGGGAAGCCGAGGAAGGTGGAGGTGATATCGACGAGGGAGACGGGAGCTATCGCAATGGCGGAAAGCAGGAACGGAGATGGAGGGATAGAGGTTGGAGTTATTCTGCCGGAGGATAACTTGAAAGCTTTTGCAGATTATTTCGCTGGCGGTATGGATCGGTGATCAAATCTGGCCGTTTATTCAGAAATGGAGGGACGAAACGAAACGCAGAATCACGCACATGGTGACAGTGTTTGGATGGCCGCAACGTTGTTGTTCTCCAAGGATTTGTTTTCATATGTTGTGTTGCGTGTGGTCGTAGGATTTCTTTTTTTATATTTTATTTTGTACTTTTTCTTGTTTTTTTAATTACTAAATAAGAGGTGAAGGGGCCGTGGAAGTCTTCTTTTTAAGGAAATAAAGTGAAATAGTTGTTTGATTTAGGCATGGATTCCAATCTCCTGTTTTACTTTATTTTTATATAATGAAGAAAAATAAAAAAGTATTAAATGAGACACAATTTTAGACACAATTGGTGTTGTAGGGTGTCATTTCTCAACATCTTCATAACAAGAGTGTAATGTGGGTGTCAGGTAGTGTTGATACGATGTTCATCCCTAGTGTTTGGATTAAAAAATCGAGTTCTAAAAGTCTGCACTTGCACAAGTGAGTTGGATATTCCTTTCGAAAGGAATAGATACAACCATTTTGACAGATGGGCTTTGTTAAATCCAAAACTGTCAGGGAGACACGTCCAAAAAATAGAGAGAGAGAGAGAGAGCAAGGAGTGCAATGACACAGTATTGAACAGTAAATTTATGCAAATGATAGGTTTGTACAAGTCTTTCGCCTTTGGGTCGGACATCTTGCACTGGGAGGCTGTAAAGGGGGAGAAATCAGCAGGTGATTACAGTGACAGTTTAATTGTATATGCAGGCCAATTTAGATATGGACCGATGCTATTGTTTTGTGGTGAGATGCGGTCTATCCTCAATGGCTATGGTATCATCCTCGTGCAGGTCACACAAAACTCACTCACTATACTCATGACCTTTGTAATCTTCGACAGATGGAGATACCGAGGTTGATTGAGCTCTTTTCTTACTTTTTTGGTTTAAAGATAGATCGAGAAAGCTACATAGTATTTTCGTTCTACCCGAGATTCTGAGTGATAATCAAGAACAAAGTGAAAGATTAGCGATCGAAGTTCAAGATCGCTTCGCATCATCAAGGCTGGTGGGTTTCTATCTGACCTATTACCAAGGAGGTGGTGAGGTCGAAGATCTTACCGAAACACATTCACGTTTATGCTGACATTATCGATGGGAGAGAACTTTCTATGTTTCAATTAACTTTGACGAGCTCTTATGGCCCGAAATTGTTGGCAATATGACCGAGAGTTTATGGGAGGAGTCGGACACAAGAGAAAAGAGAAGACTGAAGGCGGTTACGACAAAGGATCCAAAAAAAAAACTGAAGATGAATGTGCCTCAAGGGAGGGGGATCCTATTCCCTGATTCATGAAATTATCATGAAAATAGAAAGAGAGTTCCTTATCTTTAGGCTTTGGAGGAGTTGCGGTGACACTAGAGAATCATTTAGGCTCTGAAAAGCTTATTTGCATTCATATTTCCACATGAAACTTTTGACCTTTCAAAGAGTTTACAGAATGCCGCTCATTTGTCGCTCGACCTCGAAATGAATCGTTTCATAGCTGCAATCTAGTAGGATAGTTTTTGAACTTCTCGAGTATTTCATGAGGGTTTCATGTCGTTGATCGCCTGGATCTTTCTTGTTCGAGTTCGCTTTTATTCCTTTGGTGGTTTAAAGGTAACCTAATAACTTCGCGATTGAGGCTCCAAACATATATTTTAAGGGATTCAACCTCATATTATATTTTCTTAGGTTTTGAAAGATTTATTTTAAGTATTTTATATGTTATTCTGTTTCTCAGCTTTACACAAGGATATATTCAATGTAGACTTCAACATTTTTTCTTTTTTGATTGTTAAAGATTACATCCATAAAACATTGATATGTTATCACATCATTTTTGAGCCCAAAGGGCATTACATTATAATAAAAAGCTTCTTTGGCTACGACAAAGATAGTTTTCTCAACATCTGCCTAGTTCATCTTGTTCTAGTGATAGCTAGAGAAAGTGTCAAGGAAGCTCTTCATGGAATAAAACACGTATGTGTCCACCAGGGCGTAAATCTTTAGTAGCAGGTTGCAATCGTTTGGGCAGGCGATGTTCAAATTGGTAAAATCAACACACATCCACCACTTTTTGTTGTCCTTCTAAACCATGATGATGTTTGAGAGCTAGGTGGGATACTACACCTCTCGATTGTATCCCATTTCCTTCATATTCAACATGCCTTCTCTGATGGGTACAGCCAGTGCGGTCATTGAGTTCCTCGTATTTTACATGATCAACAGGACTGTAGGGCTCACATTTAATAGATGAAAGGAGACGTCAACAGTTATTCTTGACGTCTTTGCAGTGGACCAGGTAAAGACGTTGCGGTGGTCCCAAAGTGTTTGAATTAGCGGCTCTTGGTGCCTACATAAAAAAATGTCACTTTTTGGGAAAGAATTACCAGCTAGTCTTTGACGACAGGATCTCCCGGGTGATCTCACTGGTCTCGACACCGCCCTCCCTCCGGTTTTGCAAGTCAAGTGGTTGTTGCTCCATGCTTCAAACTGCTCAGAGGTAGCAGACACGCGACTACAATATGGTAGGTGGACACAACTAATCTGAAGAGTTGCGGGCAACAAAAAATGGCATTGTCAGTGGAGGGCGAGTCTATTATCAAGAAGTCCTCTGCCTTTGTGAACTACTTCTCTCCTTCACTCCAGGTGACCGCCAATGGCATCATGCCCAACGCCTAGAGAACGCATAATCAACCACCGCATCGATGAGATCTCTTGAACTCTTGCAATTTTCATTCCTAGAGCCCTTAGTTTCGGATGTTAGAGGAGTTAGGTTAGGATTTTTGTGTGCTTAGAGGAAACTTCTTAGGATTAGGTGCTTCGCATTTTCCTTTACGAATCCAAAGAGTAAATTCTGCTCCTTTTATTTCTAGCTCAAAATCTGAAAGACAGGGTTGTATTAATTGACAGCGACTTTATATATGCTTAAATTTATGAACCCAGATTTATATATTTATAATAATTTTGTAAAGTCACAATTTCAAACGCAAGTATACGTATCGTTCAAGTAATACAGGCTCTAGTGGAGTCCCGTTTATCGATCCCACAGGGAAGCGAGGTAAGAGTTCCTTTGTCAAATTCTAGTCTACTACAATTAGTCCTTCGTTTTGAATGTCGATTAAAATGATGTTTTATCTAGCAACTACTCCTAAATGCAAGTGTTAAATGTAAAGAAAGTAACTATAACTAAATGCAAATATTAATTATAAAGATAACCCTTTTTGGATGAATTGGTTTGGAGAATTTTGAGATATTAAAA